AGATCCAATTGCCCTACATGTAACTACAAAACGGTATTAGAAAGCCCAAAAGAAATGGATTTCCATAGCATCCAAACAAATATTGTTGGTCGAAATGTGCCTACTGTAGAAATTAATGTAAGTGGATTAAAAGGTGAAGCTTACCTGGATACAGCTGCCAGAACCAGTATTGCTGGATATTTCCTGTACAAACAGCTGGTAGAGAAAAAAGTTAAATTCCAGTCAGTCTTTGCGGAAATAACCCTAGCTGATGGAATATCTCGAAAAGAGAATGTATATTCAACTATCGTGGATATTATTATTGGTAATCGCTTAAAGCGAATTCGTTTTATTTGCCTTCCAAAGGCTAAAGATAATAGAACCTTACTCGGCATTGACTTTTTGGAGCAAGCCGGTATTGTAATGGATCTAGCCCAAAGAACATGGCATTACAAAGATGAACCTCAGAAGATATTTGAATTTAAATCAAAACATTCTAAAGTTAAAGATGAAGTTTATTTAAACCAAGCCAATATTAATGACGATAAACCAAGTTCATCCAACGTTAGCCATATTAATAATTTTGTGTCCTGGTTTGAATCTAACAACAAAAATGATTCTGAAAATATACCAACTTTAAAATCAATTTACTCTCCACAAAATGACTATTCGCCAAGAGGAATCCTGAAGATTTTCGAAGATTCACTGCCACAAAACTTTGAGATGCCGAAGGAAAAGGATGTTGATTTATTTCCCCCATTGAAGAAGAAGAGAACAAGTTCGCAGTCTCCCTTAATAAAAACGTTTCCCGTAAACGCCATCGATTTTAATATTTGTGAAAATGAAAAATCTAATTTAAATGTAAATGAAAAAGAAAATTTAATAAAACTTTTGAAATCTTATGAATGTGTTTTTAAAAATATTAGCACCCCTATTATAGGAATTAAACATAAAATTGATACAGGAAATCATTCACCTATAACTAACCCACCTTACAGAATTTCACCTGCTATGAAGGAAAAATTAAAAACAGAACTAAACGACATGTTATCGAAAGGAATTATAGAAGAAAAGGAATCTCCTTGGTCCTTTCCGGTTGTTTTAATACCAAAAAAGGATAATTCAATACGCCTTTGCGTTGACTATCGTAAACTTAATACCATAACTGTAACCGATACTTACCCTTTACCCAGAATGGAAGATCTATTACATGCTGCCAAAACAACACCTTATATGTCAACAATTGATTTAAAATCTGGATACTGGCAAATTGAAATGAACGAAGAAGATAAGTTAAAAACTGCATTTACTACTCCTTTTGGAATATATGTTTTCAATAGAATGCCTTTTGGACTCAAGAATGCTCCGGCAACATTTCAAAGAGTAATCGATAAGATAAAATCAAGCCTTCCAAGTGTTCTTATTTTAGCATATTTAGATGATATTATAATTTGTTCTAAAAATTTTGATAGTCATTTATCTGATCTAGACCTCACTCTAAACAAGCTTAAAACTATTGGCTTTCATTTAAATAAAGAAAAATGTTATTTTTGCAAACCCAAGGTAAAATACTTAGGTCATATTTTAACAAAAAATGGCATAGAAATTGACCCTGAAAAGACAACAGCCATTTTAAATCGTGCAACTCCTAAAAACCTAAAACAACTTATTTCATTCCTACAAACTTGTTCATGGTTTAGAAGATTTATACCAAATTTTGCGGAAATATCAAAACCTCTTTCAAATTTGACAAAAAAGAATGCTGTATGGAAATGGTCAGCTGATGAAAATGAATCTTTCCTAAAACTTAAAGAAAAGCTAACAACTCCACCAATTCTGCAACAAGTTAAAGAAAACGAATCATTTTACCTCAGAACTGATGCAAGCAATTATGCGATCGGGGCTGTATTATTGCAGGGGGAGAAAAACGCCGAACACCCAATCGAGTATGCTAGTCGACTTTTGATTCAAGCAGAAAGAAATTATTCTACCACTGAACGTGAAGCATTAGCAGTTGTATGGGCTGTTCAGAAATTTAGAGGATACATCGAAGGTTCAAAAGTTACTGTTTTCACGGATCATCAACCACTTAAATGGCTCTTTACTTTGAAATCTCCAACCGGAAGATTAGCAAGATGGTCTTTATTACTTCAAAGTTACAACTTAACGTTCAACTACACACCTGGAAAGCAAAATGTTGTTGCTGATACCCTTTCGAGACCACCATGTGTGAATGAATTGTGTATTGAATCCTGTGACTGTAATGCAGTAGAAATTGATTTTCCTCGAGAAGGTTTAGAAGAGTTTCGGAAAGCTCAATTAGAAGATGAAGATTTGAAAATTATTATATCATCATTTGAAAATAACGACGAAAATGTCACCAGATACACAAATCGTGGATATATAATGATTGATGGTATTCTTTATAAATGTAATGCAGATCAAGATTCTGAAAGTGGTCAATTGGTTATACCAAAGTCACATCGTCTACAAGTTTTAAACAAATACCATAATGATCCAATGTCTGGACATTATGGAATAGATAAAACCATATGTCGAATAACTCCACTCTTTTATTGGTCTGGAATAAGAACGGACATTTCTAACTACGTGAAATCTTGCGAAGAATGTAAAAAGTACAAGCCTACAAACATGAAACCTTGCGGATTATTACAAACACTAAGTAGCAATAAGAGGTTTGAAATTATTGCTGTGGATCTTTTTGGTCCCTTGCCTAAAACTGTAGAAGGATACCAGTGGATCCTTATAGTAGAAGATATTTGTAGTAGATGGGTAGAACTTTTTGCATTAAAAGAAGCATCTGCTGAAAACTGTGCTTTAACACTTCTTAATGAGGTAATTTTGAGATATGGTATACCTAGAAGATTACACACAGATAATGGAACCCAATTTATTTCCGCTCTAATGCAAAAATTAACTTACTGTTTGGGAATCAAACAAACTTTTACGGCAATATATCACCCAGAGGCTAATCCTGTGGAAAGGAAAAATCGTGATTTGAAAACCCAACTCTCAATTTGTGTAGGTAAAGACCACACAAAATGGAATTTAATGTTGCCAGCAATAAGATTTTCAATGAATACGGCAAAATGTGATAGTACTGGCTATTCTTCCGCTTTTCTAACATTTGGTCGAGAACTCAGAACTCCAACAGAAGTAAACTACGACTTCAAGGCTATAGTTAAAGCTGAGAATTTCATTCCTCAAATAACGCCTCATCTTCTAAAGCTAGCAGATACGTTAGAAATTGCAAATGAAGCACAATATAAAATGCAAGATCGCAATAAGAGTTTTGTAGATCTTAAACGCAAACTTCCAAATGATATAAAAATTGGTGATAAGGTGCTGGTAGCAACGCATATACTGAGTAAAGCAAAAGATGGAATAACATCAAAATTTACACCTCGCAGAGATGGTCCATATATAGTTATTGGAACTAAAGGTTCATCTTGTTTTACTATTGCTGCTCTAAATGAACCTAAAGTACCACTTGCAACACTACATATCTCTGCCTTAACTCCATATGAAGGCGAATCTGATGTCCCAATTTACCCAATTAGGAAGCGAGGTCGTCCGAGCAATAAGCAAGGCAACAACCAACAAGAAGACAACAATCAACAGCAACACAACAGCCAACAACAAAGTAACAACAAACAACAACAATTAAACAACCAAGAAGACAACAATCAACAGCAACACAACAACCAACAACAACTCAAGAACCCAAATGATACTTCAACTTTAGCTAACAACAGTAAATACAAGAAGCTAAATGACGATAAAAGTGATTCCCTTCCTCTAAGAAGATCTATGCGGTTGAAGAATATTCCGAAATACTAATTTTCTGGTGACATCATCGGGACGATTAATGCACCAGAGGGGGAGGTTGTAGCAGCCTGGATTACATATATTTATAATAAAATATTATTTTATTATTAAAATCTAAAATCATTTGAACTAATTTTATTAATCATACAATCATTGTTATATTGTTTAACTACTTAAATTTAAATCTAATTCTTTTGTTAACTATTGCTACTGACTATTTGTTTTGTTTTTATTTATGTACCGGACACCCTAACAATGTAACCATAATAATTCTGTAATCAATAACCAAAGCTTAATGTTCATCACTAAAAGAGTATTATTGATCATTCGCTCTCACACTCATTATTATTTGTATTGATTTGTTTTTGTATTATTTTCATTATCTATGTACTAGACGACCGTATGATTTGACTAAAATCAAATAAGGTCATTGCACATGCAAATTCTTGTCATTCATGAAGCAACGCTTGAACAATAAAGACATATTAAAACATAAAGCGGATTGTTTTATTAAATTAATAATTGTTCAGTCGCAGGAAGACCTTAAGGCTACTGTGACTAGCAAAACTGTGGACGAACACTGGCCTCCGCCTTGTTTGACCCAGTTATGATTTAAATAAAATTTATAAAATAATAAAACCCCATTAATAAAGTAAATATACTTTATTACAAGCATAAAATTCAGTATTTGTTGCCTACGCTCTAATTCAATGTATTTCGAATGCTTTTGCTTACTAATCACCTGTTTAAATGGACTTATCGATCGAACTTCTTTGAACCTAATATCAGACATAAATACTTTCAATTTTCACTCCAAATACATAGTACATGTATACACTAAAGTTTTTCCCCAAAACTTTCAGCTAAACAAATTATTTTATTTTATTGCAAATATTACAAATTTTTATTAAATATTTCTAAATGTTAGGTATAAAAAAAGAGACGCATATAAAAAAAGAATTGGCATAAAAGACTGGTTATACCAGATTACAAAAATTTGTTAGGAAAAAGAATACTAGTGCTTAATAAATCCATTAATCTATGTATGTATTATAATAAATGAGCACAAATGGGCGTGTAGATCGTTATTTTTATAAATATATATTAAGCTTATGGTTAGTCTTTTTAATAGAGTTGTTTGTTTATACCAAAAAGGGAATTTTGTGTGTTTGTTTTTTTAATTATTGGTAATTTTCTTTTCGGCTGTACCAGTCCATTCCTCTTTCAAATCAACTTTACAGCCCAAATCACGTAAGGCCGCTTTGACATCTTGCAAAATGGTAGGATGTTCGCTAATGGCGGTATTTAAGACATCCTCAACACCAAACGATAGCCAAGTGTCACATTGTTCGCGCGAACGTGATACCATATTACGTATAGCCCATGCACCATTGCGCTGGAAGAATAATTCAAGATATTTTAATATTCTTAACTTTTTGTATTTTTTTCTACCACCTGCACAAATTTATTTTTTTGATGTAAACGCATTGCTTCCACAATATTCTCCGAAATTCCCGTATCAAACAGGATTTTACTATTATCCTTAACGCGTAATGTTAAAGTGGAAATGCAGGCTAGTGCTGCTACTACTAGATTTTCATTGGACTGAAATTGTTATTTTTATTTTGTGCGGAGTTATAAAATTATTATTTTTGTTTGTAACTTACCATATGAGTGTGTAGCAGCTCTTTTAGTACGGGAGCAACGCCTTGTTGTACTATGTGACATTTAACAGCATCATGACCGGCAAGCGCACGTAAAAGTTTGAGTGCCTCACGATTTAAACGCACATTATTTGTATTGTTTTCCTATAAGAAAATAATCTACCTATTTTTCTATCTAAATATCATATAGATGTTCACTCACCATTACTCCTAACACTAACTTAATACCGCCTGCTTCATCGACCGTAGTACAAAATTCTTGTCGCACCGCCAAAGTACCAATAGTTAATAACAAATCAGCTAATATAGTAACCTCCTCAAATTCAGCCAGAAGATTTGTCAAGTCGACAATAAATTCAGCTGCCAATTGACGAGCATGCTCATGAGCACAACCGAACTCAACACGAATATCATCATCTAAAACCAAATAACGACAAAGGGTTAAAGCATCTCGCAATACTTTACTCTTATCCTTGCTCACAAATGGTTTTATATGTTCTATGATATTGGCTTTAATGATATTTTGTCGATTCATTTCGTGCATAACACAACATTTCTGAAGCCATTGTAGAGACAAGCAGGCCAACTGATCATTATCGCCATAAGTGTCAAGTAGACGCTTAGCCAAAGCCAAAGAGGTGGCGTCAAATATATCGGGCTGTTTATTATATAAACTATTCAATGTTTTAAGAGTGGCCTCAATAATATCGGTATTGCTTTTACTTTCGGCTAAATCAAGCTGTTGATCTAAAATTTGTAGCAGCAGACAGTTGACCTGATATTTAGCAGCCAATACACGATGTGGTAGAGATTTTTGACATTCATCTTCGATTATTTTAAGTAAATTCAAAAGTTTTCCTTTGTCCTCACATTTATCGTCCAGATAAACTTTAAGATTGTCAATGGACTCATTAAGAATGGGTTTACCCGATTCAGCATTGATGGTCAAATCCTTAATAATGTTTGCCAGATTTATGCCCTAAAACAAATAAATATTTAAATGAGTCATTTCTAGCAGAACACCCCTGCCTGCCCTTTCCGTTTACACTTGAACACCTACTTGTGCTTCAAATTGATTGATGGTCTCCTGTTTGGCTTCCTCGGGTGACATGTCGAATTCTACAATGTTTTCTTTAACAACATCATCAAATGTATCTTGTGAAATTACTTTTGCCATTATTGCAAAGGTTTCCTTTTGATGTGTTTCTAAAAGACAAAGAAATTTTCTTTATTTGTTGCAACTTCTTCCCACACACGCAAACCACAACTGAAGTTTATAGGACTTTTTTTTTGTTGCACTTAATAAATTTTGATAGTTTAATTGTATTTGTAATATTTAACTGCAGGTTTTTTAAATTTTTATTAACATTTGCAAAATTTTGTTAATTTTTTCAAATTAATTTTAATTTTTTTTCTAATTATCAGCTGTGCAGCATTAATAAATGAAGTTACCGGACAAGTCGAATTTCATAAGATGCCAGTAGGGGGGAGTTTAGAGATTTTCTTTGTTTTTTTTTTTTTTGTATTGAATTTGACATATTAACGTATTTATTTAGTGTGATTTGACATTACAGCTTTCCATCTGAATAGATCTAACATAAATTCTATTTGTTACCGTAATTGTTTTTGTTATTTGAAAAGTGTTGCACTTTGTCGCTGACTTGAAAAACGTTAAGAACATAATTTTGGCGTTTATCAGTTGTAAAGCGACATGGCCACACATTAAATTTGTAGACTCAAACGGTAAGTTTTTTAATTGTTTAGTGAAAAAAAAAAAACTCACATGTATATATACGGTGGGAATTTTTTTACTAACACAATCAAAATACTTACCGTTTGAGTCAACAAATTTGATGTGTGGCCATGTCGCTTAAACATTTAAAAGAATTTGTTCATTATTTTTGCAAACAACACTGCAGTGTTCCATAAATGGACTTTTATATAATATTAAACTTAGGAACATGAAATTAAATAAAAGAGGTCTACTTTGGTACTTTTTCCTACTTCAACTGGTACTCTATGAGTTTTCTAAAATAATTAATATGTAAACATAAAATTAAACACGCAGTATCCTGATTGAACGAAAATTTAAAAAGGAAACTTTTTGGTTATTTTCTGTTCTTTTACTAATGCTAAAATTGGACACGCAGCTTCCTGATTGTATAAAAATCTGTATGCGAAGAATTTCTGGTTGAAAATTAAACATGCATCATCCTGATTCAATGAAAATATAAAATCAATCTTATAGGGTCCTTATTGAAAGGAGACTTTCAATACTGAACCTTGAAACAAGTATGAAAACCTTTAAAAGGGGACTTTGGATATTGGAGAGTAGCTAAGCACACTGGGTATAGCTAGTTTCATTTCATAAAGAAATTACCGCTAAAATAGAAATAATCTAAGGCCTTTGAGAGGTGCTTTTGATGGAGTATTACAAATTAAAGTTAAAAAAAAAACAAATTAAAATGTTATTTAGATTACACTATGAGGCAAAAATAAATACCTCGGAAATACCCTGCTTAATTTCTCACACAACTTTTGTGCTTGCTCTATTTTGTTGTTATAAATTATATACAAAATCCCACTTTTTTATCCCTCGGATTCCGTTTTTATTTAAAATCATTGAAAATTTTAAAATTAAGCATTTTTACGAACTTAGCCGCCCTACAAGAAATGTATGACCGAAACTAACACATACAAAATGATTTTACTAACACACTTGCAACATTTTTCTTTAAAAATTACTAAAAAAAAATAATTAATGGATAATTCCATCAATAATGACGGTCAAATGACCGGTAAAATGACTGTGATTTACTCAATGTGTGATAAAGGGTTTCATTTGCATATGAAAGAGTGAAACAACTACATTTGACTGTCACTGTGTTTTCGTCGCATAAATTAATTATTTCAGTGAAAGCCAAAGATCAAAAAGCAAAAAATTAAAAATTTTAAGACTAAAATTATTAAAAATAAAGAGATTTATTGTAATTTAAAAACGGTGAGGAAGTGGAGCTGAGAATATACACTTCGGAGTTTAATCTATCTGTGGTAATATGAATACATATTTACTTTTAATTTTTATATTTCAATATTTATATGCATTTCTTTACAGACAATTTATTTCCTAAAATTAAAAGGAGCATAGGAGGATTTTACATTCTGTGAGGTATGTAAAATGGTGAAATGGTAGTTAATTTATGTATATGCTTACTATGTATATTAATAAAATTAAAAATATATATCTTAAAATGTTAATAAATTGTGTTTTATTATAAATTGGCATAGCCGTCAAATTTGACGGATAAATTCATCAAGTGTGATTGGTCAACTGTGATGGATATATCCATAAAGAATGATTTGTCAATCGTGACTAACATTTCCATCATCCTTGATTGGTAAAAAGCAAAAGAGTGAGCAGCTCAAATATATGTTTTAAAATCGGTAGAATTCATAAGTGCAAGGGAGATGCAAGATCACATGTACACAAAAGTTTCCATCAAATTTTTCATATTGCCCTTAAGAACTTGATAGAAACTTTGTTCTACGCAGTGATCGATATTTCCTTCACTAGTGTCAGTCAAATGACCGGTCAAATGACTGTCACTGTTCTTGTAGGGCGGCTTACATTTGATTTTAAGCCGGCGACGATATTTTTAGTGTCAGCTGCCGACGTCGTTAATATTTGTCGGCGCAGGGCTCTGTTAGACAGTGAGAGCGAAAACCAACAAAAAAGAAGAAGCATTTCATAAAAGCTCTCTTTCAGTGCATTATTCAAGTAAAAAAATTAATTCGTCACATTTTTAGTAAAAATTACGAAAACCCCGTTTTTAACCAAATAAAGACACAATTTTTATACAAATTATTGTAATTTTAACAAAAAAATTTATAAAAAATTCTTAAATATATAATTTCTAAATAGTTTTGCAAAGTTAAAAACTAAAAAAAATGGAAGACGATTGGGGTAAGTGTTGGCAAAAAATGTTTTTTGTTTGAAGTCTTGGAAAGTTCGAAGGAATTTATTTTCGTACAGAGGCCACTTCCCCCATCAAAAAAAAATGTTGGCCATGTGCTTTATATTTATGGGCAATTATAAGACATCTCTGGTTATATTTATAGTAAGGAATACGTTTAAAAATCATCTCTTAAGAAAATACATAATGAAACCTTGAAATTGAACATGAAATCAGCAAATGTATTAATATGTGACAAAAAATCTTTATGCTTCTAGAAAGTGCTGCTGACAAGCCTATAGTTGTTATACCCGACAATATTAACAAATGGGCTGGTGAGGACGATGATGAAGATGTCAAAGTAAGTGTTGTTTGTTTAACTAATACAATATTTTATGTATTTATTTGTTAACATAATTATGCATATAAGAATTTAGTAACTTGCTTTTCAATTGACACGTGTATGATTTTTTTGTGGCCTTTGTGTTGTTGATTGTGTCTCCCCCCACCCGCCTTGTTTATGTGTTAATGTGTATATTTTTGTTTTAAATTATGCAGTACCCATGTATATTGCTTCATTTTGCCTGCCTTGCATATTGTTTCAAACCAAATCATTGTAGAAAGTGGTTTTCAACAAGTTTTATTATACCCTACTCGATTATAGTATGGAGCATAATATGCGTTTATGCTAATGTTTGTAAAACTTACAATATTGTACACCGTTAAAATATAAATATGTACTTATAATAAATCCGTAATAATTCCTGTATCCTGATAAAATCCGAGGATTCTTGATCTATTTTACGAAACAGTCCAATATTAGGCGTTATTTCGTCACCAAAACCTTGATATTTCACTAAAAATTTGACTTCATAAAAACAGCGATATTGCACTAGAAAATCGCTTATCCAATTCTATTGTTTAAAATGAAATTGTTGTTATTATACATATATTTTTCCCTCCTAAATTGAAACCACTCTGATCGACATGAGTAAAAATAGGTCTAATAGCAATTTGCTATTGATGTTTTACATTAATGTTATTAAAATCTTTGAAATACTGATGAACTTCATACCTAATTTGATTCGTTTCCATTTGTAGGACAGTTGGGATATTGAGGAGGAAGAGAAGAAGGATGAAGAAAAGAATGAAACAAAAGTAAAGGCACCCGTTAAAACGAAACCTAATAAAGCACTGAAATCAAAACTAGCCGAACAAGAGGTAAATATAATAACTAATAAACATAATACGATCTAAAATTCACAACATCCAAAATAAGTACTATGTATTACCGATGAGAAATTTAGGTGATATAGTACCATAGTTCCAAAATTACTTTATGATCAGACATGTCTCCATACAGTTGTTTTTATTACATCAAACTTATTGATGACATTTACTTCCACCAACAGAGACTGGCCGAAGAAGCTGAAGCTCAGCGTTTAGCAAACATGACACCTGAAGAGAAATTAGCTGAAAAGTTGCGTCTGCAAAAAATTCAAGAAGAATCTGATTTAAAGAGTGCTTTAGAAACATTTGGTGTACAAGACATTGGTGGTGGTTTAGATGCATTTAATCCTCAAACTGAAGAAGAATTTAAAGAATTTGGAGCGACGCTTAGTTGGAAATTAGCACAATATAAAGAATCGCCACATTTCCCACAATTTATTGAGGATTTAGTACGTAGCATAGGTGTACATTGTAAGTATAAACAATATGCTATAACTTTATACCAGAACAAAATATGTATTTATGCTCTTGCCTTTGTTGTTAAAATTTCTTTCAGTGGCTCTTCCCGATTTGAAAAAACTGAAAGTTAGCGTTGAAAATTTACACACCGAAAAAGTGAAATTAGAAAAACAAAATGCCAAGAAACCTGCCGGCAAGGGTAAAGGCAAAGTTACGCTGAAAAAGGAAAGTGATGTAAGTAACAACAAATAGATTTTTAAAGTAAAATAATTAATTTATTTTCTTTTTAGGATATTGATGGTTATAAAAAATATGGCAACGATTATAATACCTATGATGATTACGATGATTTCATGTAAATAGTCAGTTAGTCCAACCACATCGGCCAATCAATCAGTCACATAAACCCTGTAACGTTTACTTTTCGATCCCTAAACAACTAAAACAACAGTCTTTTAGAATTTCATTTGTTCGTCTGTTGAGCTCTTTTTTTTCGATTATCAAATTCTCGTCATAAAAAACTGATAATTTGTTAATGATGTTAATATGTGATTATTAGCTCATCCTCATCATATATTTTTTATAAAAAAAAGCCAAGAGAAAAGAATGAAAAAAAAAGAAAACGACAAATATGTTATAAAGCACACAGAGGAATTTAACAAAATAATGTTAAAAACCAATCACTTTTTTTGTTTTGTTATTTAATCAAGAAATACCATATATATTATATTTCTTAATAAAAAAAAAGTAAAATAAATTAAAACAATAAGTTTTCATATATTGTAATTGCAAACAAATAACAATTTGTACATTTTAAACTAGGAAAACAAACGATTTATTTTTTTTCATTCAGGTTGAATAATTATGTAACAGTAAAATTGTAATTTGCTTTATGAGAATTATATTATTTTTTTGTATAAAAAATATATCTATATTTAATAGTAAAACTAGAAAATTTTAGTTAATTTTTTATGATCATTTCAGTTAGATAAATATTCTACTTTTTTTAAATTAAAAAAGTTAGAAAGTCGACTTTATATAAATTGCAGAAAGTCGACTTTTCGTATATTTGAAGAGTTGATTTTCGACTTTGCGATTTATGAATAGTCGACTTTTTTACTTTCTGTTTTATGAAAAGTAGACTTTTCGGACCGTTTTTACTAGCGATTGTCGACTTTTTTTCAACATTTTCCGATTTATCGAACTTTTGAATTTTTTTCGCTTTATAAAAAGTTTACTTTTTGACTTGTCGATAAAAAGTCGATTCTTCGATTATTTAAAAGTCGTTTATATAACCCTACCTAGAACTAGGGTTCTATAGTTGAAACGAAAAGTCGACTTTTCGACTTTTTTCATTTAGTTAATAGTCGACTTTTTGCATTTTATGAAAAGTCGATTTTTCGACTTTTTTCATTTAAATAAAAGTCGTCTTTTAGACTTTTCGACTATAAGTATTTTATAAATAGTCGACTTTTTTCGACTGTTTCCGACTTTTTTCGACTTTTCGATTTTTTCGACTTTTTGACTATTTTCGACTTCTTTCTACTTTTTTCCGACTATTTTTTGACTTTTTTCGAGTTTTTCCGACTATTTTAGAGTTTTTGACTTTTTTCCACTTTTTTAAAATTTTTGACTATTTTTGACTTGTTTCTACAATTTTCGATTTTTCGACTTTTTCCGACTTTTCGACTTTTTTCGACTTTTTCTGACTTTTCGACTTTTTACGACTTTTCGACTTATCGACTTTTTCCGACTTATCGAATTTTTTTGACTTTTCGACTTTCAGACTTTCAGACTTTTCGGCTTTTTTCGACTTTTATTCACAAAGTCGACTTTTTTCACAGACGATAGTCGAGTTATCGACTTTTTTGGAACAAAATAGTCGACTTAGACTTTTCGACTTTTTTCGACAAAATGTCGATTGTTCGATTATTCGAAAGTCGATTTATTGAACCCTACTACCTAGTACATCTGTTTTCATATCATTTTTTTGTCTGTCACCACAAGAAAATCGATCGTTTAAAAGTAGAGTCGTTAGTTATCGTTCGATTTGCAATCACTAATTTATACAAACATTATTGTTTATTTCAAGGCGCAATAAACATAAAACATTATTAATTAATTTCCATAACAAATCAATATGAACGCTCAATTAAACGCTGAATTGGATAATGCACTTCAATGTTTGCTAGAAACCTATCATTTGGCTCTAGAATTTGGTGACGAAGGTAAATAGATTTTTTTTTAAATTTCCAAAAATATTAACGACAGCATTTATCACCTCCCTTCGCTCAACAGAATGGCAAAATCCTCGTACTTATTTGGAAATGGCTTGTAAATTGTTAACAACAAAAGAAAATGCCAAACGTATGGATGACGCCATTGAAGTAGCCAAAGAGCAGGCTACCGTCGAAGATTTCGAAAAAGAATATCATAATCAGTTGCATGTGCGCCTGTCCAAAAAGTACGATCCAAAGAAAAGTTCCGATTTTAAGAATTTCAAGCAGCAATTGCTGCAAATTGCCCAGGCAATGGAACAAGATGGTGAGGCAGCCGCCGGCAGTAATGCGACACGCATCGAAAGTGATGATTTTGTAATGGAAAGTGAGATAAATGTATATGATCCTCTAACTAAACAGCGTATGCAAAATCCGGTACGTAATACCCTGTGCAATCATCATTATGAGAGATCTTCGATTTTGGAAGCCATACAAATCAATAAACGTCTAAGATGTCCCGTAGCGGGATGTTCCAATAATGTTTATGTCATACAGAAGCATTTGGTCGATGATAATGTATTTAAAATACGTTTGCAAAAAATGCAGGAAGCAGAAGCTGATGATGAATAATACAGTTTTTTTTTTACTTTACTAGGCCTACATTTTCGTTTTATTATTTATATTTTTAACTGTTACACATACATATTTTATATTCTTATGAAATAAACACCATGAATTGTTATCCTTTTTTATCTTTCATATTCTAAGAAGCTCAATCCATGTTTAACTGTCATCAATCGGCTTGCGAAATATTTTGCGAAGCACTGATCAAAGTATCACGCAGATCTTTAGTCGACTGTATGTGAACCCGTACCGTATTTAAGAATGTAGGATATGGCATAGGACCAGCAGGATTATCCTGCATGTAGGGTTCAGTTCTTAGGGCAGTTACGGCACCGGGCAAATAATGTTGAGCCGAGGACAATTGCTGCATGCATTGCATGGCTGTCTTTAGGTGCAACTCAATTTGATCGCAATACGTATAGAATTCCTCCAAATGTTTATCGAAACGTGCTGAATTCATGACTGCGTCCCTTTTTAAATTGTCGGCCATATTATTTTGCTGTAGTGTAAAAGCCGCACCACGAAATGTCAATAACAGCGACTCTCTCATGGGCATAAATAAACTCTTCACCTTGGATATATTATCTATTTTTTCCGGTTGTTGTGGATGCTGTTGTTGTTGTTGCTGCGGTTGCCCTTGTGGATTCTGCGGCATTTGTCCGGCCATTTGTTGCTGTTGTGGCACCATTTGTTGTCCTACGGGTGCTTGCTGTGGCGATGACTGCATCAATGGTGATACACCCTGTTGCATCATGGGATTTGGTGGTCCAACGGCACCAGGAATATTACCAACACCACCCATTTGTTGCTGAGGCATAGCATGCATATTCATGTTGGGATTCATATTTGATGAATGTGTTTTTTTTAATTTTTTGGTGCAACTTTCTGTGTATTTGCAAATTGCTTTGTTTATATTGTGTGAAAATAGAGCTGTCAGATTGTTTACATGTCAAGGCGTATTTTATAAAGGTAAAACTATCGGCGTATTTTTAATGTGATGTTTGACAGCACACTTTTTTTTTACATATAGAGTTTGACAAACAGGATTTTAATTTTTATAAAGATATAATTAGTCAGCTGCAGAGATACAAGCCGATGCAAAATGATCGGCGGCGGCGGCGCATCAATTTTAGGTCGGCGGCGGCTTATTATAGAAAATATCGGTGGCGGCTGAATTGTCGGCTCACTTTAACTTTTTCTTCAGAAATTGACCTTATAAACGTTAATTATAATGAAAAATGTCAGAATAATAGTCTGATATATAGAAACCTGTCTCTATATAAGTTTTTTCTGCAGAAAATGGACATTTATAGTAGTTTTCACTATTTTAATATTAGCACAATATTGTGTGGCAATTCTTTTCAATTTGCCATAAGAATTTAAAATAGTGGCAACTACGTTCAAATTGGTGAAATTATTTTCTGAAATACATGTGCGATTAAAAATCTTTATCAGCGGCTACGTTTAAGCCGACTTAGCTTTTGAGCCGAAAGAATTCTGCGGCGGCGCGGCTTGCAAAATATTACCGGCGGCCAGCCGCCGCCGATTTGAGCCGTCTCGGCTTGTATCTCTGGTCAGCTGTCGCTTATGTAAATACACTTTGTTAGAGATGAGTATTTTTTATTATTTTTATGTTGCTCATGATAGAAGTTGCCATATTATTAGTGATGGGTTTTATTATGTTCTATAGTTGAAAAAAGTCGACTTTTCGATAATTTGTATTTCGTTTCCCGCCGTTTTACTTATTTTCATTTCGAATAAAAGTTTAAAACTGAGAATTCATGTATTTTATTAAAATTAATTTTAATATTAACTCTAGTAGACTGATTAAAATAAACATACTGACAAAACGAAAAAAAAAACTAATACTAATTAAAAATAAGACCAATAAAAACTAAATCTGATACATTTTTCGTAAAAGCACAATGCCAGATAAATGTAAAAAATAAACTTAAAGCAAACGTAGACGACAATTTGCTGCACCACATTGACAATACAAAACTTTGCCTGGTACAACACCCACTTCATAGTTATAATTCCAAGTTAGTTCAGTGCCAGCACGTATGTTACACGAGGAAAAGAATGCCACATTAGGGAAACGTAAATCATGGGTGTCCACAAAAACATTTTGCACAAACATATTAGGGGCACATGAATGCTGAAAGACAGAACATAAATTTAAAATAAAGAAACAATTGCAAACAAATTTTATAAACTTACATTGAAATAACGGCCCAAATTACCCGAAATTTTAGCATCCATCACATAACAGGCTTCATCTTTGCCATATAGTTTGCGTATAGAACTAAAAGAAAAAATTGTATATTTTCTATTTTTTTAATAAAAAAAAGTATACATACTTTTCCCTAACTGAGTCTTCATTCATGTCAGCATTTGGATTAAAATTGATTACTTGTCTCTCTTGCGATTCATCGTCTTGATTACCACCCGGTCGTGTTGACTTGGCGGCATTTTGTTTTTGTTTAGCTCTAGTCAAAAATGATTTGCTGGGTGTGAAATCATCATCATCTAACTCGGGATTGTAGACGTCCTCTTCTTCAGGTTCGGGTAGTTCAACCTCTGATTCGTAACCTTCTTTAATTTGTTCGGCAACTTCTATATAATCCAATTCGGCAAAATACTCATCGCCAGCATCTTGACCACCCTAGAAGTTTTTAAAAAATTATGATGAATTTCTATTTAAAGATATTCCTATTTTTTGAAAATTATTTAAACTTACCTCATTAGCTTTAGCTTCGGTTAACAAATGACCCGCATAGACACATACAAAGCTACCGCGTGGTATATCATTAATACAACGTAGACCCCAGCCACGATTTGAAGTCTTGAATACTTGCAATTTCATGGTCAATGAATTCTGCACGACACGATTTAAACAGCTGCTCTTACACTTGCAATTAGCATTACATTCATAAATGCCGGTGGGGACATGATCATGTAGACGTCTATATTGATAGCCCACCTCTTCGGGAGCAGCATTTGGATTGCCATATTTGGCACCAGCCAATGTCAATTGCCAACAAGCACATTTTGTTTTATCCTTTAGTTATGCAATTAAAAGAAATAATAAAGTTTTAATAGCTTACAGTTTTAAGCAACAAATAACTTACTATACAATCATCCTCACAATCGCATCCCACCAAAAATGCGGGATCCGTATTAATATGTACTCCTTCTGTGGGTATAACCTTAGCAGAATATTTACACTCTGGCGGCAGAGTATTATCGTAATAATTAACCAATGGTATGGCCATTTTTTCCTGACCTCCTGATATATCACGTTTCTGTACAATAGCACTTTCAATGACATACTCAGCCAAGCAACTGATCTCGTGGCTAAAATCAAAATTGTCCACATTTAAAACATTATTTGTGGCACGTAAATAGTGATGCAACTCTTTCATATTACGTAGAATTTTACCACAGGGAGCACGATAGGTAACTACCCGTTTGATTTTTTGACGTATTATAAAACGTTCCCAGCCAGAGAGTAAAGGTTTCGATAAAGGACTATAAGCACTTAGATTGTGAGTGATTTCAAACAGACATGAAGGTGAACATTGATGTGGTACAAATTTACGTGGTGGCAAATTGCGTTTAGCTGTGTAGTAGACAACCTAAAACAAGAAATAGTCAATATAGAAAACTTTATAAAATTATCAGTTTTTCTTATGTTATTATACCTTTCCTTTAGGTTTATTCTCATCTTCTACGTAAATAGTAGAATTATTTAAATGTTTAACAGTTGGCTGTTGTAGTTGCTGCTGTTGGTAGCTGCTGGGTTGTGCTGAATTCATCATGGATTCAGGTCTGCCAAATGTCTTGCGCGCTACGGCACGATTACTATCAGCCGTTTGTTGTTTTTCTGTTTGTTGCTGCTGTTGTTGTTGCTGTTGCTGTGAGGAAGTTTCCTCATCTTCGGTATAACGTATAAAAGGTTCTGTACGCTAAATTACGAAAGAAACAAACTTTAATATAACAAAACAATCAAAAAACTTAATATTTTCAAACTCACTCTAGGCAAACGTGATACCGGCATATTGGAATTCTTTTGTAGAGATTTTTGATATTCTTTAAATACCGGTCCCAAACGCAAAGAACCACGATATATCCATTCCGTATGACTTTTACTACCTTCAAATTGCATTAATACCAAACTGCAATCAATATCAACGACACGAGCATGTAACCAATAACCATTTGATTCGGTATTCATAGATTGTCCTTTTTGTGTTTGTACCATTGGTCGATTAATGGAATATTGTGTTAGATATTTTTGTATAAAATCTCTGGAGGCAGGATGTACATCTTCCCAAACACAGTCGGAGACGTGACAAACTAAACGTACATCTTTGTGATAGACATATTGAGTATAACCGTCATCGTAGAAAATCAAATATCTAAAAAGGAAATAAAATTTGAAAAATTACTCTTTTTTTAAGAAAAAATATACTTTCACCCATGGTATAGAAAATATTAATATTTTTTTACCATGCTTTCACCTTTTTTCTTAAAAGATTAAAAATTTTTAAGTGAAACAGATTTTATTATTTATTGAATTTTTTATTGAAAAAGCTTTTTTATGAATTTATATTGAAAAAGTTTTTTTATACATTTTTATTGAAAAAGCTTCGTTAAACTTTTTATTAAAAAGCTTTTATATAATGAATACTTTAGTAAAAAAAGCTTTTTTTCATTAAAAAAAAAATGTTAAAAAATATTTTTCAGGGAATAAGCTTTATAATTTTTTTTTGCGAAAAAATTTATCTTTTAAAAAAATTTTGTGAAAAAAACTTTTTTTACTTAAAAAGATTTCTTAAAATTTTTACAACTTTTTTTATTGAAAAAGCTTTATTATTACTTTTTTGGAAAACAAATTTCTTTAAATATCTTTACTGAAAAAAGATTTTTATAAATTTTGATTAAAAAAGCTTTAATATAAATAACTTTTGGTTGAAAAAGCACTCATATAAGTTTTTATTGAAAAAGCTTTTTTTATAAATTTATATTAAAAAAGTTTTTTTATACATTTTTATTGAAAAAGCTTTGTTAAACTTTTTATTAAAAAGCTTTTATATAAAGAATACTTTAGTGAAA